GAATTACCTTTGAAAGAAGGCAAAAGTGTGACTTGGTAAAGCTTGCTATTTATCATTTCCCGTACGCTGCACGTCATTTCCTTGGGTAGGCTCTATATATCTCAGGTTAGAAAATCCCAAAAGTGTCCCAATGAGCTAGTCCTGGTGTCATCTGAAAGAGAATATGTTGTTCTTACCACTGATGTTAATTTCATTACCATATCTGGACAGATTAGAGAATTATCTTGGAAAGAAGGCAAGAGTTTGACTTGGTCAAACTTGCTATTTCTCTTTTCCTGCCTTTTCTGTACTGCACGTTAGGACGTTGGGTAGGCTCTATATATTTCAGGTTATAAAAATCAACAATTATGCAAATAAGCCAACTGTGGTGTCATCTGAAAGAGAATATGTTGCTCTATCCACTGGTACAAGTTGCATGACCATATCGTGGAGTGACAGAGAATTACCTTGGAAAAAAGGCAAGAGTTTGACTTGCTAAAGCTTGTTATTTATCATTTCCTGTACGCTGCACGTCGTTTCCGTGGGTAGGCTCTATATATCTCAGCTTAGAAAATCCCACAATTGTCCAAATGAGCCAACTGTGGTGTCATCTGAAAGAGAATATGTTGCTCAATCCACTGGTATGCGTTTCATGGCCATATCTTCACAGGTTAGAGAATTACCTTTGAAAGAAGGCAAAAGTTTGACTTGGTAAAGCTTGCTATTTATCCTTTCCCCTACGCTGCACGTCATTTCCTTGGGTAGGCTCTATATATCTCAGGTTGGAAAATCCCAAAAGTGTCCAAATGAGCTAGTCCTGGTGTCATCTGAAAGAGAATATGTTGCTCTATCCACTGATGTAAGTTTCATTACCATATCGGGACAGGTTAGAGAATTATCTTGGAAAGAAGGCAAGAGTTTGACTTGGTCAAACTTGCTATTTCTCTTTTCCTGCCTTTTCTGTACTGCACGTTGGGACGTTGGGTAGGCTCTATATATTTCAGGTTATAAAATCCCACAATTGTCCAAATGAGCCAACTGTGGTGCCATCGGAAAGAGAATATGTTGATCAATCCACTGGTGTACGTTTCATGGCCATATCTTCACAGGTTAGAGAATTACCTTTGAAAGAAGGCAAAAGATTACTTGGTAAAGATTGCTATTTATTATTTCCCGTACGCTGCACGTCATTTCCTTTGGGTAGGTTCTATATATCTCAGCTTAGAAAATCCCACAATTGTCCGAATGAGCCGATCTTGGTGTCATC